ACGAGCACAGGCCACCATCCCCGGCGTCCCACCGCTGTCCCCGGGAGAGGGGCCCCAGCCCCCATCCCCACGAGGCTGGAGCTGCTCCAGAGCCCACCCGTGACACACGATGCCGGCGAGCCCGGCGCCATCAATAATGCAGCGGGGTCAGCGCCGGCACGGGGCCGCCGGCTTCCCCGCAGCTCCGGCCCCGCTCCTGCCTCTGCGACGGGATTAGAAGAGCTGATCCTAAAAGCAAGCCGGGCTTCGCTGCCGCTCCCCGCCTGAGCTCCTGCAGCACCCAGAGCCCTCGCCATCCCCGGGCACCCCAGGTTTTGCAGGGGGGCTCCAGCCCCACCGCCCTGCTTCCCAGCCACCCCCCCCCCCCCAAAAAGGCACCTTCCCGCTCCCCAGCAGGAGTGGGGGAACCCACCCGCCCATCCCACACCCTCAGCCCAGCAGAACAGCAACCCGAGCTCCCGGCAGCCTTCGTGCAGTTCCACGCTGCAAAGCCATGTCTGCACCCACAAAGTGATTTTTTTTTTTTTTTTTTTGGTTAAGCACACAGTGATGGATCCCCCGACGGGGCACAAATGGCTTCCTTTCAGCTTTATTTTTTTAGCCTGGCAGCACCCAGGAAAAATAGCTGCTGTGGTAAGGGCAGCGACACAGCCACAGCTCCTTGGGCTCCGCGCCGGAGGGTTTCCCCAAGCTGCTGCCTGCACAGTGGAAACCTCACCCAGGTTGTACCGGGGCTGAGCTTTACTGTCCTCCCCCATCACCCTCAGCCCACAGGTCTGAGCCCGCCACCGGGGCCCGGGGAACGCAGGATGCTGCAGGGAAATGCTTTAATTTAAACCATACGCTTATTTTTTGTGTGCCGGGTGTTTTTTTGGGATTGTTTTCTTTTTGTTTTGTTTTTTGGGTTTTTTTTTTGTGTTGGGTTTTTTTTTTTTTTTAATCGCATAATTACTGCAGACATTTCTGCTCATGTTAGGTTTTATTACATCTTTGTGGTTATTCTACAAGCCCTAAATTTTGGGCCTCAACTGAGTTGGCAAAGTTCTCCAAAAACATCTGTCCCAAGTTACTCCCCTTCCAGCTCGCCAGCAGAAAGCTGGCTGCTGAAGATGTTGCAATGCAGAGTTTTATTTGCAACAGAAAAAAATTCTTATTCCTGACCCAAACAGGAGTGTAAATATTTACTGCCTCAATGTTAGCCCTGGCCCCACACCTGCGGGTCCCAACAGGCACCCAGGCTCTCATCCATCCTCCTCCAGAAAACAGCACGTCTGTCCCCAGGCACATCAGCTCCTCTTGAGGCGGCAGCAGGAGCCACTTGCTGTCGTGACAGAGCCGTGACAGAGCCGGCCACGATCCCCCATGGCAACAGGACCCCCATTCTCCTGCTGTTTGCAGTTCTTGCCGGCAGCAACGCCAAGGCAACACCATCCCTCCCTGAGCAGGGGGCCGGTTAACCACCAGCCACAAATTCCCCTACGTTAAAATTCCCAGACCCAACAGGCTGCTTGAATCCCCCAGCTAGAAGACGTGGGTTGGTTTTCCAAAAGATAAACACCAGCTGTAAACGTCCCTTTGCACACCCACGCCGCACAGTCGTGCTTTGGGGTGACCGGAGCAGCAACGGAGGGGAACTGCATCACCCCAAACACATCTCGGTGACTTCACGCTTGTTCTTGTTTCTCCTACAAACACACCTGGAGAACGCAGTGAGGCGGCAAGTCCCAAAGATGCCGCTAACGTGGTGCATGAAACCTGAGTGGGCATAGGAAGGGGGTCCCAGTCATACCCGCAAAGGTGCTGCTGGACCTGAGCACTGCGAACGCCTCCGGGCCGGCCAGCAGCCCCAGCCCAGCCCTGCAGCACGCCTGCCATTAGCCCAGGCATTTAATTAACAGCCACCGCCAGCTCACACTGCTGTCCCAAAGGCACCTTTGCAATAAAAGCTGCTCAGCGCCCAAAACAGCCCCTACCACCCACCCTGAGATCACCTCCCAGCTTCCCAAAGGACTTGGCTGGGTGCTGGGCAGAGCCAGAGCCCCAAGGAAAAAGCAGAAAACAGCCCCATGGCCATGAGAATGTGTTTGGGACAGGGGAGCAACGTGGCATGGGGGCACACATGCCCTGCTGCTTCCCCACCCAGGGGACACGGTGTGGGGCCGGCAGCGAGCGGGCAAACCCCTCCGGCACAGGCAGGACATGGGGCAAGGCAGACCCTGCTCCCCGGGGCCACCACGGCCACGAGTCCCCAGGGTGCCAGGGACAGTGCCAGCAGCCCTGCCGACCTGCTCCTGCTCTCTCAGGGCAGGCAGCCTGATTTTAAATACATGCTGAATTATTCACGGCATTACTGTGGTTCCTGGAGCACAAGGCCCTGGACACCAGGTCTCTGCTGGGGGTGCGCGTTGATCTCCCCACCCACGGCAGCTCTCCCCGGGTGTGTGTGGGGGGGGGGATCACTCCTCTTGCAAAATAAGACTGTGGCAGCGTGGAAGAGGCTGGCAGAGCTGTGCCCACCCTGCCTGCTGCATCATCTCCCCACTGCCCACCACTACAGCCACCCCAGGTGCCAGATTTCCCTCCTCTTTATTTCAGCTGCTCATTGCTTCGGGCTGCACTGAACAATCAAATCAAGGGAAACTGCAGCCTTTACATAAACAAATGCTGCTCGAAAAAAAAATTGCTGCTCCCTGGGAGCAGCCCTGAGCATCGGCACCAGTTCCTCCAGGGGTAGGTTGGGGCCAGCGGTCTGTAGGGGGAAGGGAGCTGCCTTTTCTCCTCCTTCAAGCAGGAAAACTGTACAAAAGACACAAGCATTGCCAGCCCAAGCCCAGCTTCTCCCAGTGCCACCCAGCTCAGTGCCTGGTCCCTTCCAAACCTGGTTGGGGACAGGTCTCTGACCCAACCACAGCTGCAGGGGCAGGAACGTCCCAAATATCCCCCACACTCAGGAGCTGTGCGCCACACACGGGCCCCGTGCCGGTGACCCGCAGGATTAGGGTCAGGCTCAAGCTGCCCCATGCAGGGACACGGTGCTGGAGGGCTGAGCACCGCAGGAACCGGGGTGCACCATCACCCCCCTCCGTGGCCTCCAGCCATTCTGGATCTAGGACAGCCACCTCACCCTGATCAAGATCCCGGAGCAGATCCTACCACCTTGAAGCAAAGCAGGACCGCAGAGGATGCGGGATGCAAATCCTGCTGCTCCAGCCACCCCTGCCCTTGCACCCGGGTACAAGGCAGCTCTACAAAGAGGTGCTGCCCGCGGAGGCAGGAGCAAACCAGCCGCTGCCCCGAGCCTCTGCAAACACCCGACACGTTCAGCACTGCGGGCTCAGCAGCCCCCCGTCCCCAACCCCGTCACCCCCCCGAGGCAGGTCCCTTTATCCAGCCCTGGCAGGGTGAGCACCAAATGCCCCAGGTGAAGCCCCCAGCCCCTCTATGGGGAAACGGGGGTGCTTCTCCCCCCTCACACCCCAGCCCTGGCCGGTTCTCCCCGTCCCACCCTCTCCTTGGAGGAGCCGAAACCCAAAGGCCGGAAAGGTCCGTCCTGTTCCCCTCGCCCGACTTCCCGTCAGCGCACGCTGTTGGATTGCACCCAGCTAACGAAACAGAGAGAAGATAGGAAATCCCCAGCTTGGAAAGTCACCCCCAGCCATGCCCAGCCACCCTTCCTCCCAGGAATGGCTCCTCTCCCACCAGCTGTCCTGGGGGTGACCAGCCCCCCTGCCCCCCAAGGGAAACATACCTATCATCATCATGCAGGCCTTCAAACCATGCAATTAAAAAAAAAAAAAAAAAAAAAAATACTGCCTCCAACCCTGCCCCTGCCAACCCCCAGGAAAGGGGGGTTCCTCTGCAAGATGCCAAACATTTTTGGAGGGGAGAACTGAAGGGGAGAGCCTCTCCTTATCGCTGGAGATGCACGTGCCTCCTGCCTCATACCAGGATCGCCTCTTATCTGCGTGGGGGAACTTCTTCAGCTGTTACTCCGTGGGGGCTCCCGAGGACACGAAGCTTTCCCAATTTTCCCACCCATGTCCTCCCGGCAGCCCCACAGACACTTGTGGGCCAGCATCCAGCCCCCCCCACACCTCTGAGGGGGCAGAGGCCGACCAGGCACCGCAGCCCCTGCAAGCTCCTGGGGAGGAGGAGGAGGAGGAGGAGGAAGAAGAGTGCACCCATCGCAGCTCCACGCTGAGGAGGCAGCTGAACCCCAGCGCTCCCTGCCCGACAGCACAGACCACGGACACGTGGGGACACGGAAGGGGACAGACGGCAGCAGAGAGGTGACAGTGACCAGCTCAGCCACATTCAGGCCCCGAGCAAGGGCAGCGCCGGGCCCGAGCCCCGCTATCTGCGAGCGCAAAGCTGCGCCGTCGCCGCCAGCCCGGCCCCAGCAGCAAGGCAGCCATGGAAATTGGACGTTTTCCACCCCAAATTCTTTCCTTTTTGGAAAGGAGTTTACCAATAAAAGGCACTTACTGCAGAATCACAGTCCAGACCCAGGCCACTTGAAAAAGAGCTAATTTCCTTCCTATTTAAGCAAAAAAGCTGAGAACACATTCGCCCCAGATGTTCCCTCCCTCCTGCAAATAACGGAGGGGAGAGCAGCTCATTCATGAGCTCCAGCTTCGCCGCGTCCCTGGTCCGTGCAGCCTGTCCCCACGGGCTGGTGAGACCCAGGCTGGGACACTGACCTCAGCCGAGGCACCGCGGGGTCACTTGTGCCCTGGGCTGACAACGCCCCCCCCCCCAACCAGGCCCCCGGCAGACCCCCGAGGGGCACAGAGACCTGCACAGCCCCCGGCAGCCGATGCTGCTCCGAGCAAGGAGAAACGAGGCCAAGAGGCAGCTCACCCACTGCTTCAGGGCACAGCGGGGTCCCCAGCCCCAACAGCCACGCAGGGAAGGTTTTTCTCCGCTGGGAAGCAAGCCGTGCTGGCAAGAGGGAGGCTCTGCACCCCGCAGTCCCACCCGCCGCCCCGCTCAGCCCTCACCTTCCTGCTGCCGTGCGAGGAGAAGCTGTGCGAGTGCCGCTGGAGGCTGCCCCCGCTCAGATCCAGCTGCGGCTTCCAGACCTCCCCGTTGTCGCTGCCCACCGGCTTGGCGGGCGAGACGCTGGAGTTCAGCAGGATCCCGCTGTGCACCATCTCCTCCGTGCACGTCAGGCGCAGGCTGCACAGGTACTCGTCCGTCTCCTTGTCCACCACCAGCAAGCGGGTCTCCGTCTCCACGGCTTTGATGCGCTGAACAACCTGGAAAGGAAGAGAACGACTGAGCCGAAACCCCGGGGACCTGCCGGCTGCCGCAGGAGCTGGACCCAAGGACCAGCAACTCCCCAACACCCTCCTGCAGCTTCGGACTTGCTGCAAGGGGCACGGTTTGCTGTCACTTCGAGCCATCGGTGATGGGAAGGGCGGAGCGTGGCTTCAGGGGACCCCCAGGACGGAGTGCCTGTTGCCTGCAGCCCCAGGTGATGCTGGCAATGGCTCTGCCCACCCCAGGGCAGCTGCACAGACCACCCGGGATTGCCTGCTCTGCTCGGACAGGAGCTTTCACTGAGTCTGCTTCATTGCCCCCCCGACCCCCCACAAGCATCAGAAACCCTGCTCCCCGGTTTTATCCCTTAGAGGTACAACATCATCTGTCCCACCAAGCAAACAGTCCTTCACATCCTCGTTTCCTTGATCTTGGGTGTCTTTCTTCCTGCATACCCAGGGCGGGGTGGAGAGCTGGGGTGCACAGGGAGGCACTGAGCACCCACGCATGCATTTGGTGGCTTGGGCTGCCTTCATTGGGTGCTCCCCACTGCACCCACGTACCAGCTATCTCCTCACCTGGGTGGATTTATGAAAGGAAGAACCCGATCTGCGCATTCACCCCCAGCCTGTGCCAGGGGCCAGCAGAGATAAGGGAAACCAGTGCTGGGAGCGGGAGATGGGCCCCGTCCCTGCTGGGATCCAGCTCCAGGCAGCGCTGAATGGGGCCCATTGTCCGGCTGCTGCCCCGGCATCGGTGACTGGCAGCGGCTCTGAAAGGAGCTCGCGGTGTCGGCACGGCGAGGAGAGCCGGGAGGAGCGGACCGCAGCCAGGCAGGGGGGTAAATCACACCAGGGCGGGCTGTGATGGGAACGGGGCAGATCCAGGGCACAGCGAAATCGTCGCCAGACCCCCTGCCAGCAGCCACAGAGAGCTGGGTCTGCCAGGCCACCTGCTCCACGCCCAGGCCTTCCTCCTGAGGAGGAGGAAGGCTGGTATGGCTGGCAATGCTGCTCAGCAGCCATCCCCACCCATGGGTTGGCCCTGAAGACCACAGACCCATGATGATACCACCACCCCCTTAACAGGCGTGCTGGGAAACCCCCAAAGCAGCACTGGGCTTCCCTACAGGGTTCCTGCTCTGATCTAGGTCACACCGGCCAGACACACTGCAACAGCCAAGGTTATAAGTGACAAACGAGCCTAATGTGCAATTAGCTAGCATTTATTTACTCCCCTGCAAGCTCCCTTCAAGGTCAGAGCTGCTATCTGCAAATGAATAATAAAAAAAGAAAAAAAAACAACAAGAAATTTATAGACTGCAGACAAGGTTGCTTGTCCTGAACCAACTAATCTGCTGCATGCTGCAGGCTCTGTCTCCACGAGCCGTGCCAGGCAGCAGCGTGCCCAGGGCTCCCATCTGCAACCGGCCTGAAAAGTGCTATTCCATTAAACCCCTGAAAATCCATCTGCTCCCTTTCAGATCTATTTACACCTGACATCAGACGGTGCTGCTGATACCGGCACCTGCGCGAGGCCACTTGTCCCCGAGGGGACCCGGGAGCAGGCAGCCGATGTGCAGCGGTGGCAGGAGATGCGGACGGGCGATGCCTGTGGGGAGCGTGCAGGAGAAAGGCTGTGTCCTGCACAGAAGCATCCCCCAGACCCCGCAGTTGGGGTGCTCCAGGAGTTTAGGGCAGCACAGTTAACCTCCAGCGGGGAGCAGGGTCCTGCAGACCACAGCCAAATGCCGAGCGACTGGGGAAGCAGCCAGCGGAGAGCGACGCTGGGGCTCAGCCCACTGCCGAGCACCCCAAGAGCAGTGATGGAGCAGGCGTCCCCCAAATCCCACGAGTGCCGGGGGCTGAGCCAGGCAGGGATGGAGAGCAGGCACAGAGCAGCCCCTCGCCCCGTTAGAGGGGACGAGCAGAAGGGGCTTTCTGTGACAAACTCCCCAGGCAGCACGTCGCTTCGGGAACAGAGCAGCGAGGCGGAAGGCAAAGCAGCAGCCAGGCACACGGTGAGGTCCCTGGCACCCTACCCGTTTCCGAGCCATGGTCACAGCCTCGAGTCCCCCAGCTTTTCTGAAGACGACACAGCCTCCCCGGCTCATCTGGCGCCTCAGGACCTTCTCAGCACCGGTCCCAGCCCCATGATTTCCGCAGCTCCACCCAAACAGACTTTCACCCCTGGCTACACCAGCCCCAGCCCCGCAGCGCCAGCCCCGGGCCCTTCCACCCTTGCCAAACACCAGCTGCCCAGCAAGGAGACTCACGGTGCCACCGGGAACAGCTCAGTTCATCCCTCCTGCTCCCAGAGAGATACCTCTGCCCGTGCACCGCGCTGCCAGCCTCAGCGAGGACCTGGAGGCTTCCCTCGCTCCCGGCACAGCAGGAGGGCAGGATCCCACTGCTGCTCTGCCCCAAGCACCCACTGCCCACCCCGGGCGAGGAACCAGGATGCAGTTTTGCATCCAAGACATGAAACGCCCCGAGAACACGCTCTGCCTTCGCTCCTTGGGAAAGGCCAGGAAAAAAAACAGAGAACAAAGACACAAATGCCGCCAGCTCCAGCTTGAAACAGAGTTACACCCAGACAGCAAGGCCTTGTTTGCTGCGAGCTCCGTCCCACCGTAGCTTCAGATGCACCGGGAGAAATGTTACTTATTCAAGGCCGGGGACCTCAGCAGCACAAGGAGAGGCCACGGTGAACCAGCTGCTCTTACATCAGCAGGAGCCAGGGTCTGACCCGCCACGGCAATATCCATCCCACAGTCCATCAGTGCTGGGTATTTTTTTTTTTTGGAGAGGGGGCGGAATAGGTTCTTGCTGTATTGAGGCAGGACGAAGGGCAATGCCAAAGCATGTCCTGGGGCAGGGCAGCTCCTGCTCGCACACACTAATGCCATCACAGCAGGAGCACAGCACAGCGGTGAGCTCCACATCACCCCAGATGGGACACTCCGTCCCATTCACTGCTCTGCTGCAGGGAGCAAGTGCTGGGGCTGAATCCTGCCTCCGCCAGCAGAAAATGGAAGACAGGAAAATTTCTCCCCTTTCACTTGACCTACTGGAAAACCCCCACACATTTCAAAGACACAGCTGGCTGTCTCAGCTCTGCTATCACCCATCCCCAGCATCCCAGTTTCAGCAGGGAGCTCTGATGGCTTCCAATACGATGCAGCTGGTTACAGGAACACAGCCCTCCTTTCTGCCCAGCCAGACCAAAGATGGGGATCGTCCTTCAAGGGTTTTGAAATCACACTCGGGACAAACCACTAACTTTTACACAGCTGGCTCAGATCATCCAAACAGGCTCAATTAGCCAGGAAAAACCACCAAGCATGTGGAGAGGAGTCCCCAAGGCTTTACTGGAGCCACCTGGGAGGCTCTGCCTCACCTTCAGCCCAGCAACACCCACACCCGGTGGGTGAAGCCCAGGAACCTGCAACCCCCCCCCCCCCCCCCCCCCAAAACTCTGCAGGGTCTGCAAGCTACACAAGGCACATCCCTGCTTTGCCCCTAGAAAGTGCTGGCAGAGGGGCCTGGCCATATGTTTTAAGTTACTAAAGCACTAAACCCTGCAGAGCCCTGCGAGCCTTTAGGCAAACGGGCACACTGGGCACTGTGCCCCTGCCAGGCTCCGTGGCTGCAGCAGGACAGAAGCAGCTTGAATCTCATAGCTTGTTTTTTTGGACGGAAACTGTTCAACAAATACAAGTTTCTGTCTTATAAGCAGAAAATGACACAGCTTGAAGTGTGCAGCTTCTGTTACAAAGCTGAGAAACAGCTCGCTTGGATTCCCCCCCCAGCCACAGCCATGGTCTAATAACAGCCATTATTTCCCTACAAGCTCTATCTCACTTAAACCAGTCAAACTGCTGAACATCTGCAGAGCTTTATCAGTAGATTTTAAGGCATCCTTCACACACTCTGAGCTGCATAAGCAGGAGCAGCTTGTCCAAAGTAGCCACGAAAACCCACAGCAGAGCCGGAAATAAAGCCTGGATCTCCCCATTCCTTTCCACCACAGATTGCATAACGCAGCAGGGCCCTGCCCATCCCGAAACACCTTTGCCTTTCCCACCTTTACACCATTACAACAGCAAGCAGCAAGACAGGCGACACCCCGCAACCCTTCTCACAGGAACTCCCCGTCCCAGGCACACAAAGCCCCCCTGCAACCCCGGCCTAGGATTTGGGGGGGGGGGGGGGGGGGGGGGGGGGGGATGGGACACACGGACGGGTACACACACACGAGAGGGCACAGCCATTCCGCCCCAGCAGCCGCCAGCCAAGGATGCTCCGGGTATTTTGGGAGCAAAACCCCCCCCCCCCGCTCCAGCCCACCCCGGGGGAGGCTGGGGCCCGGGGTGCTGGGGCGGGGGGTCACCTCGCCCGGCCCCCGCCCGTACCTGATGGTGCGTCTCCTGCTCCACGTTGAGCCCGTTCACCTCGACGACGCGGTCCCCGGCGCGCAGCCCCGCCGCCTCGGCCGGCGAGCCGGGCTCCACTTTGCGGATGAACTGCCCGCTCTTGCCCTTCTCGCCGTGCAGGTGGAAGCCGTAACCGCTCTCCCCCTTCAACATGCGGCACAGCCGCGGCTTCAGCTGATCCTTGGCCATGGCCGGGGCGGCCGGCGGAGCGGAGAGAGGGGCGGGCGGGCGGGCGCGGGGCCCCTTTTATGGGCGGCCCGGGGCGGGCGCGGAGCGGCGGGGCGCGGAGGGGCGGGCCGGGGCCGGGGCCGGGGCCGGGGCCGGGGCCGGCGCTGGGGCTGGGGCTGGGGCCGGGGCGCTGCGGAGCGCGGCCATGCTGCGCGCTGCCCCGCGGCGCCGGGAGCGCGGCGGGCGGGGACGGGGACGGGGACGGGGACGGGGACGGACCGGGCGGGGACGGGGAGGAGCCGCAGCGAGGGACGGGGATGGGGAGGGCGGAGCTGGGACCGGCACCGGCACCGGGACCGGCACCGGGACCGCCACAGGGACTGGCACCGGCACTGACACCGGGACCGCCACCGGGACTGGCACCGGCACTGGGACTGGCACCGGCACCGGGACTGGCACCGGCACTGGCACCGGGACTGGCACCGGCACCGGGACTGGCATTGGCACCATGACTGGCACCGGCACCGGGACTGGCACCGGCACCATGACTGGCATTGGCACCGGCACCGGGACTGGCACCGGCACCGGGACCATCACTTCCACCAGCACCGGCACTGGCACCAGGACTGGCACCGCCACCACCACCAGAACAGGGACTGGCACCAGCACCAGGACTATCACTGGCACCGGCACCAGCACTGACACCAGGACCGACACCGACACCAGGACTGGCACCAGCACTGGCACCAGCACTGGGACCATCACTTCCACCAGCACCAGCACTGGCACCAGGACTGGCACCACCACCACCACCAGAACTGGGACTGGCACCAGCACCAGGACTATCACTGGCACCGGCACCAGCACTGGGACTGGCACCAGCACCACCACCAGAACCAGGACCACCACTGAGACTGGCACTGGGACTGGCACTGGCAGCAGGACTGGCACCGCCACTGCCACCGCCACTGAGACCGCTACCAGCACTGGCACTGCCACCGGGACTGTCACGGGGTGGATGGAGCTGATGGAGCCCCGGGACCGATGGCGCAGGGATGCCCCGGGGCTGATTGCAGCCTCTCGGGCTCAGGGATTGTGGCTGTGTGGGCTCAGCTCCAGCAGCTGTGGCTCCCCCCAATCCCCGGTGCAGCACAGAGCCCCCCGGGCTGGGGCACCCCCAGAGCTCACTGGGCAGGGGCGGTGGGCAGCCCTGAGGGCAGCTGGCTGGAGCCCACCACCCTCCAGGCCAGCCTGGGCACCGCTGCTCACACAGATCTGCCAAGCTGGGACCCCCCTGCGTCTGCGGGCCAGGCCCCCCCATCCCCACTCCCCTCCGGGATGGGGGTACCCAGGCCAAGGCTGATCCATGGGGCAAGGCAGCTTTCCAGGCCACAGGCAAGAACCACCCTGTGAGGGGGAGGTGATGAAGAGCAGGGCCTGGAGCAGAGGTTCATCCAGAGTTCATCCTGAACTGACGGGATGCGCTGGGAGCCCCCGGTCCGGAGCGGGGAGGAGGGACCCCAAAAATCCCTCTGCCCACCCAGCCCGTGACCTGGGGGAGATGCGGAGCTCTCTGCGGGATGCCCCTGCCCAGCCAGCCCCTCTGGCACATGCAGAGCTCATGTGTGTGTTCCTACATATGTGTAGGTTCACACACATGGTCATACGTTTGTGTGAAGGAGCTCAGGAATGGTTTGTGTCCCCCCGAACGCCAGGACGGGGATGGGGTTCGTTAGCTGGCAGCTCTGCCGTGCCGGGTGGGAAAAGACTCCTGCTCCATCCCGGGTGCCCCTGCAGAGAGGCCGTCCAGGTTTCACCCAGAATTAGCTTGTTTCGGTGAAACAAAGAGATCCCCATCTTCATCCTTTTGCATTCCCAGTCCTCATTTCCTTGAAATCTTTCACAAGGAGGAAACAACCCAGATTGATCGTCACAGCGTTGGCGCTGCATGTCGCGTTCTTGTGTCACAGGTTTCCTAGCTCTCCTCTGTGGTATTTCTCCTTCCTCAACCGCTTTCCTACGGGATTTTTACAGAGCTGAAGCAAATGCAGTGGGCAGCTTGAGGCAGTAAATGAAAGACTCCAGAAATTAGTATTGATTTGCTTTTAATTTGTAGTCTGCTTTTAAAAAAAAAAAAAAGCGACTTCCATTGCAGTCGTACATAAAGTCACTCTTCAATGAAAAGATGCTTGAACCAAAAAGATGCTTGGTGACATGTCTTAGAGGAGAGCTGTTATGCTGGAAAAAAAGTGACATTATTTATCTCTGGCCATTCTTCCCACCCTCCTTTCCTATAGGCAGAAGCACCAATCTTGGCACAAAATCTTGGGTGACACGAGAGGAGGCCAGAGAGCTGGGCAATTCAGACTGTTTTATTTGCTGTACAAGGCAAGTACTCCCTTGAGCCTCTTTGTGGAGTCCTGAAGCTTTTTATCAGGCTAGAGGAGTGCAAATAATTGATTTTTCCACTCACTGGCCGAACCAAAAAACTGGGGGGAGGGGGGGAGGAGAAGGAATTGTTTCAAGTTTATTTGAACAAAAACGTTTTTCTTTTTATTCAGTGCAATAAAAACACGAGGTAGAAAATCTTTTGGGTGGTCAGACAGAATATTTTAACCCTTTTGAATGTCTCTTTAAAAGTGTTGGTAGCCTGAAAAATAAAAAAAAAAAAAAAAAAGGGAAAAAATATGTCAAAAAGGGGAAAATGAGATGTTTGGATTTCTCAAAAATGTTTATTTATTTTGAGCACAAGCATTTTCTCAAGTGCGACTGGGATTTGTTGATTTTTTTCAACCTCGCTGTCCACAAAAGGCTTTTTTTTTTTTTTTTTTTTTTTTTTCCCAAAAAACTTCTGTTGGTTATAGCGAAATGAAGGAGGGTCAGGTACCCAGTGTCACCTCTCCAGCCAAGAGGACGTAACCCAGCGGAGATGCCGGGATCTGCAAACCTCTCCGGGGAAAGCCTCCGCAAACCTGCCAGCCCGAGCAGCCCTGCCCGTCTCCGCCGGGCGCGGGGGCAGCAGCACCCCGGCTCCCTGGGGGGATCAGGTCCCCGCTCCTGCAGGGACACGTAGGGGACTTGGAGGAGCCCCGACTCAGCACAGGATTTTTGCCTGCTTGCCTCTGGCCGTGCACATCGTGAGCCTGAACTGGAGGATTTCCTCCCCGATCCCGCTGCGGTGGGGACGGAGGGGGCCGTGCTGTGGCTTGTGCCTCTCAGCCCAGGGCGGGTCCTGGGGTGCACAGCTTTGGCACGGACGTGGTTCAAAGAGAAACGCCGTGTTTGTTTGCCGCTGCTGGTGGGGATGGCTCCAGCTTTGTGGGCAGGAGCTGGAAAGAACCTGGAGACGCGTTGTGCAACGGTGCGTCCTCGCATGGTTCAAAACCCTCTCGGTTCTCGAGGCCATCCTGCCATTTCCCAGCTGTGGCCCGTTGTAGAAAAAAAGGGAGAGAGCACAGGCTCCTGCACTTACTGCTATAACAGAGCCATGATTAAATCCAGCAGATACCCCACAAGCAAGGTTTTTCCATTTAAACTTCTGTGTGTTTTGATCTGGGCAGATACTGAAGTCAGAATTGGGCTGGCCTGGAGGCTGAGGGAGTTCATGGGACCTGTGTGCTTACTGGCTTGGAAGGGTTTGAAGCTCTTTTTGTTTGACATCTGCTTCTAATTCCTTCACTGCACTTGATTGAGCAGCGACAGAGAATTACACCTGTGTCCTGAGTGCTGTTTGCTTTAGGCCTGATCCTGTTGCCTCACTAATGCAAAATACTGATGCTGTGAAAAGTTTCATAATTATAGAAATTAGGCTTGACCGGCAGGCTCCCTGGTACATCGGCAGGAGAGAGTTTTGGGGCCCATAAAGTTCATCCAGAAACTGGCAAAAGCTCAGCTGATAACCCGAGCCTGTCCAGGCTAGCTTGCTCCTAAGGCAGGTGGAGGATCAGGGCGAGGGGCTCTTTGAGGGGGAGGATGATTTGCCCGAGGGTGGTGATGGAGTCGCTGGGCTGCGCCAGTTCTTCCAAAGAAATGAGAGGTTTTGCACGTGCCTTTGGGCCATCTTCTGCCAAAGAGGACACAGGTTTTCAAGATGCCAGGACAACCCCCCCCCCCCCCCTTGCCTCGCCCGTGGCTCCACCTCGTGCCTGTTGGATGGCTTTGGGCAGGTTTTGTGGCTTCTCCGTTTCCCCGCTCTCCCGGGATGCAGGTCACTCCCTTGCGCTGGTCCTGCTCGGGGACGGGAGCTTTGCCAAAGGCAGGGGGAGGGCAAGGAAAAGGCCGGGCACTGCCGGACACCCCTCCCTTCGGCTTTCGTGAGACACCGGTTTCCATCTCAGCCCTGGGAGCAGCTGGCAGGGAGATGCTCTTCCTCCCGCGCAACCTCCTCCTCCCCATCAACGTGCTTTGGTCGCTGTTTATCCACCCCCCGCCCCGGCTCCACACCCAGCCTTCCACCAGAGCTCACTGAACTGGTTGCAGACGGGCTCCTTGTCTGGGGGAGACCTTGGCCACCCCCAGCACCTTCTGCCTGGGCGTGGAGGAAGACCTGGGTCCCTCTGCCCAAGCTCAGGGACGCACCCTTGTCGGCAGTGGGGTTTGATGGTCCCCACTGGGAGCTGCAGCTACGGCAATAATTAGCTCTGACTATGAATAAATGAAGTCCCAGGCTTTCCACCTGGCACAGATGTGGCCATGCTCATTCCTCCCTCATTTCACTGTCATCCAGTGTGGGGCTGCTGGGTCCCAGCCGCTCTCGGGGAACAGCAGCTCCCGAGGAGTGGGGAAAGGCTGATGATTTACTTGCGCTGCCAGAGGAACTGGGAATGAGAGGAGAGCACATAAAAAGCACCGTCTCATTTTCTCTAGGCCTCTGTGTGTGGCACTCTTGAGCTGCAAACATTTTCCAGGTTAGATTTGTAGAGATAGAAGGCGAACTGATCATTAGGAGGATTAATTGTAGGCTTTGTGGGTTGTGAAAGTCCAGAAAGTTCAGTTACACTGCTGAGAGCTGGGTGATCCCTCTTGCACAAGCTGGCAGGTAGGAATCTGCCAAAGTCCTTTATTATTTGCAAGCAGATAGCAGCACTACAGGTACC